ATATATATAAAATATAGTTCAAATTTATTTTGTATGAAGGATTATCTTCATATAAAAACCCTGTATAAAATTTAAAAAAAATCGTAAATATTTAATATAAATATAAATGAGTATTCTGAGTAATTGTAGACACTTGTGAATAGTATTGAGTGAATAAAGCAAGAATAAAAGAAGAATGTTGCACTTTCTTTTCTAAAAAAAAGCGTCAAAGAAATGGAGAAGAAAGTCTAATTAAATTCAGTTTTATGTATTAAACAATAATATATCCTGACAATAATTTTATGAGACAATATAGTTATTTAAAAAAGTGACTGATACACACGATGTTTTTCGCATTAAGTATTAACACAAATTTCACGTTCTACCGGAAGTTGAAGAAGGTCCAATTAAGTGATTTGCCTCAGGCGTTGTTTACTTTTAGACACTGTCAATAGCATTGTAATTGTAACTGAATAGAAAACATGAAAAGTTATATTACTTTTTAGTCAAGTGACTGACCATATATAGCCTACAGAAATCCGAATTTTCAAGTTTCGTTAGTAATTTCTCCGTACTTTTAACGCTTATACTAATACTCAGTAAGTCGTTCGAAAGATACTTTTCTTATTTTGTAGCGTACAAAATTTCAGATTTTTCTATAAACAGGTTCCAAATTATAAACAATCGAATAGGAGGAAAAAAGTTAGCAAAACAGGTGGTTTCTGGTTAACAGGTGAAAAGTTTACTTATAGATCTCTTATAGTTTTATCGCTTAATTTTGAAAAGAAAATTTCGTTTTAATCAATCATACCAGTAATACCTACAAATTTTTTATTTGTGTTTATGTTTTTTTGTATTTCGCTTCCAAGCGCAAGCTTATCTTCACTAAAGAGAAACTGCGAAGAGAAAAAAAATTTGAAGATTCTTTAAATTATCGTGATTTTTTACTTGGCGGAATGGTTTCCATTTCACAAGGTTTTTCGGATTAACAATAAAACAATTGTGTGAGAAATCATAATAAAACAGAAAAACAAAAAATTTCATGCAAAATTGTTGCCAAAACGTCTGAATGGTTTCAAGGACATCTTTCCATCTCTACACCTCTAAAGCTCTAATAACAGTCCACCAAATGACATTTTTACCAGGTTTAATCAATAAAAGCCCGCATCATCCCCCCTCGGGGGGAGTCTCTCACAAGTCGGACTATACTAAGGAGCGATATCGTCGAGCAGCTGTCTTTACTCTGTGCGGTCTACGGAACTAACAATCGCAATTTCTATAACATTGTGCATCATCGACACAAGAACTGATACGAACCTCCATGGGAATTAATAAGAGGTGTACTCTCTCGGCCCCTTAAACTTGTACTCTAAAGTTAGGAGAGTTAGAATTTATGTAGATTTTCGTAACTTTGAACGTTTTTTTTTGTTATTCAATAATTTTTTTTATTTTTCTTGTTAATGGTTTCCTTTGCTCGTTTATTGCCTACGCCTTACCGACGACCCCTCTCTGCTCCTCCACTCGCTTGACAAAAAGAATCCCGACCCTTCGAGATAGCAAATGCAAACAAGCCATCCACTGACAAGTGGGCAGTTTTCACCAAACTGTTGCCGACAAGGAGAGGTACGACCTTGTCATACCTCCGGCGTCTCACAATTATAACAGACAATAAGTTTATGATGTTGAGTCACCGAAATCTGGCAAAATGAATAAATATTTTATGATTCTGAACAATAAATGTAAACTAGAAAATTGTCATAAAATCATACGAAGTAAAGCACTATAATTATATATTAATTAAATAAAGGAAAAGCTGGATGTCTCCGTAGCTGAGGTGGCACCTTGGGACCCTATTTGTGGGACTCGTATACTTTTCTGAAAGTCGCGCGACGGAATTCGAATCGAGCAAAAACACCTAGATATCTTCAGAAGTTATCTGTCGGGATTAGCAAAAGTGCAAGATTTTCACATGTGTATATCGTTGGGAAGTTGGAAATGCGAACGTTGACAAACGAATCTTTGAAAACACCAACTTGTTTTTCTCGTCGCGACCTGCTGACCCGAGAGATCTTGTTTCAGCATCGGAACATTTTTGAAACTAAATACTGCTGGTCGTTTTAATTTTATATTAAAACTAACTTTAGGAAATACACAGTAGGGAAAGGTTTCCTAACTTTCTCTAGTGTCTATCTCCTTCCCTTTCTCGAAGGGGTTACAGTAGGGAAACGGCGTATAAATCTGTGTATTACTGAGGCTATAGTAATGATACGAATGGATACGTATAAAAATACTGTATTTAATGATTATTACAAAAAATTTTACTTTTTATTATGAGCCGAGTCGTTAACTCATTTATTTCCCAGATGTTTAAATAATTAAATTTTAATATTGTCCATTCTACATAATAAAAGTTATTGCTTGTAAAGCAATAAATCGATAATACATGTAAAACTATTTTAACGTGGAACTATCCTATTCGTCAATTTTACCAATTAGATTTAAGTGTTTTGCTGCGTTTTGTGTATATATACTTTAAGAAAAATGTTCACAATATTAGAATTCGACAGTTTGTCTGCTGTATAGAATCAGTAAGTATATAATTTCTTACAAACGATTTATCTTTTAAACTTTCTCATAAAAATTCTTGATTACCTCTTTGATAATAACTTTATTAAAGATTTTAATAAGAATTGTTATCCGCAATGGCAATATAAAGGCCACTACTAATCACAGTCACAATGGAAGCAAACAATTGAGTCGATAGCTCTGACAGGACACACTATTATCCTTCTGTTGCTAACTACTACTTTTTCATTGTAATTGTTGTCAGCCAGCTTATCCCTTCTTTGGTAATCTCGACAACAATTTTAGATACAAGAACATCGAGAACGAAAAACAAAAGTCTTATTTAAAACTAAACCGTGATCAAAAATCGCAGCCAGACATTGTAGTAATGTTGCACTAAGTAATTTCTCGCTTTATCTTATGTTCTGCTGAAATAATAACGAATTATTTCGGTCTGAATGTTTTTATTTAGCTATAAGAATCGATACTTGTATTTTATTGAAGGTATTTCTTAGTATTCTTTTTATTTTCTGAGCACGTAATAAACTAAAATCTTTCTACGTTACAGGGGCGTGCCGTGACATTTGATGATAGGGAAGCTGTGTTTCTGTAAGAAGCCGACATCCAGGGGCAATCAGTCAATCGCGCGTCAGTGACGGTCTAGGGTCCATTCGTATCTTTTATTCGATAACCCAGTAAAAACCGTAGACTTCTCTAAACGCATTTTTAATATCACAATTACATTCTGAATCGCTAGCCACGATATAAGGGCTACAATTAAAAATAATAAAAACTTACTCGGTGAAATAAAATATGTGGTGGATGTGCTGGTACTGTACTGTACATACAAAATATTCTTCAATTATTCTTCTTTGTAAAGAAAAGTACATAAAAATATAAAATATTCTTTACTTTTTAAATCTTAAAACAATGCAGTTAGTCAAATAGCTCCCTACTAGTGGCTAATAGATGGAATCCAAGACGGTTGCAGAGCGCGCATACACGCGGACTGCCAAATCCCCAGGGTGCTAACACCGGTCAATTTCAAATACAGTACCTCTTTTGTCGCATCACTAGTATATCTCAAAGGATGTGACAGGGCTGTTGCAGATTTTAAACGTTTCTCACCATAGCTGTAAAAATTTATATATGTTAAACTTAATAGATATTTGTTTTGGAAAAACTGGAAAAATTTCTGTCTTTATTACATCTAATACAGCATTTCTAAGAAATCAGTCCCCACTGTACTCGGCTAGAGATTGGTTCGATTAGGCTTTTGTTTAAGTGATATTTCGGCTCTTTCGTCAGGGTTTTGTTTACGTCCCCAATCCCCCAATCGCTTAATTATTTAACTACTACTTAAGTAGAAATAAGTCGAAACCAGTTACTTTGTACTCGAATATTTGTAGTCTCCGGAAAAAAGTGGAAAGACAAATTTTTATGACAATGGATATATAAATCGTAAATTTAAGAAAAATAAATTCTAGAGCTTTTTCTGTACCTCGTGCATCTCTCTCATTCATTAAATTTAGTTGTAAACGACGCCGTCGAAGTTACGATTAATTTTTTAACATTGTACAAGAATTGTACACGTTTTTTTCTACATCCCCTTAGAGATGGGACATACGAAATCGTAATATCACTGGTTTAACATTTAAATCCGTGAGTAATATAAAATCAGAGAGCAGAATAAATATATCAAATATTTTAATGGATTTTTTAAACTTTCGTCAACTATACAGAAAACTACACATAAAAACATACAGGTAAATTCTTATCGGTTGGGTTAAGTTATAAATTGAAATATCTAGTGGGCGGGCGGCTAACAGCCCAGAACCGGTCCCGGATAGAATTGGAAGCGTTATATGTGTGTAGCTTCCACCCAAGGTCGTAGGCTTCCACCGGCTAAACCGGGTGAGGTTGGTGCTCTGTAAAGCGCGTGCGCAAATCTGGCTTTTTGGAATCTGACAATACATAGATTCCACTCCGCCACTAATATTCGAATATACAATAGCAATTTTTTTCAGGAGGATTAGGAGCGTCGATCCGGCGCGGGCCGACTTAATGAGGACTAATCGAAAGGACAACAAAAGTTTCTAAATTTGAAGTGGAGCGACAGGCAGAAAGCAATTACCGAGAATTATTGGTGTCTCGCGGGAGGTTTATCAATTATTCGGTCGCGGCTTCTCCTAATCGAATGAACGGCTTATCCGTTGCCGTCATTAACGTCGGCCGTCCGTCCATATATCCACCCGGACGCTGGCATCTCCGATAATCGTCCAGGAACGTCTCCTCTAACGTACGTATCGGCACCTCCTCCCGCTAAATCTCTGACGCCATTTTCCTTACCCGGAAGAAAAACGAATCGTTCCCGGACAAGAATCTTAGTTGCCCAGCGAGTTTTGCCACGATTATTAATTGAGGGTGGTCGGATTTGTAAAGGTGTGCTTTTTCAGGATCGAAGATGGCGGGCAAATTAGTGACCGGCGCCTTGATACTGATGGTGTGCTTGTTGGTGACCAACCAGGCCGGGAAACCTCTTTTCAACGGCAGCATATTCGGCAAGAGAAGCCGCAGCGGTAAGTCCTTTTTTATTGGCGTCCGCTCTTTTGCCCGGACGGAAATTAATGACCATTTTTTGCCCTTTAAGCAGACTCCGACAGGGAAGTCGACGTCCGCTACGCCCTCTGCAGTTACGTCACGTCACCGTGCTACCGATGGTTGACCCGTCCGGACCGGCAAATAATTCGAGAGGGGCAGATGAGACACCCGGGAAAATTACCAAAAATATGACCACAAATATTTTAAAAAGCATTGTTTTTTTGCGATATTCTATCTTACGAACTATTATAAATTAAACAAAAAACGGATATTTATAAAATCAATACATTACATAAGTAAATATTTAATAAATAAGTAACAAATATAATTTAAATAATTATTATATTAAACTATTTCCTTCTTATTGCTATAGTATTATTTCAAGTTGTCGAGTTTTAATTTACTTGGATATTAGAACGAATTGTAAAAATTATTATTGCAAATTAATTTAATAATTAAAACGTATATATTAAACTTTGCCTTATTGTTACGAGATGTTTTATGAAAACTAAAAACACGAAAATAATTTATAACCTGAAAAATTAATTTAAAAATTTAACACAACAAATTATTTGTAATCTTAATTTAATCGACTTGTAAAATTAACTTTGTGATCAAGATTTCTCTTAAAAAATTAATTTACCTAAAATTTCATTGGAATTTTGTTTCTCCTTACCAAATTCTTGATTAGGAATTTATTGACGACTTCAATATCAACTTTCTTGGTGTTACAGTCAACAAAACTTATCACTCCACTTACTTGCAGAAATGTGTCATGTTTTAGATAAAGTGAACGAAAAACCTGGAAAAGCTTAAATAAAATAAACTTATTTAATGATGTACAGTAGAGAATTGATTATCCGACCCCGATTAACCGACACCTCGGTTAACCGACCGTCCTAGTCGGCATATTTCAAATGCCCGCTAGTGATGTGGCGCTACAATATTTGGCTATGTCTTGGCTATTTTAATATTATTTGTACGTGTTTTAGCTGGCAACACTTATTCGACCATGAAAGGAAGCTAGTATTTAAACGAGGCTTAATTTTCTGATTTTTAACGACACAATAGCGACGATTATTATTTTAAAAAATTTTTGTTAAGCTTAACATCGATGAAAATTCAATGCGAAGTAGGTTAATAGCGATATACTAATATACTAATTACATGGGATATAATAATATACTACACTGATAATAGATTTTTTTCATACTTTTCGGTTATCCGACTTTTCAATTATCCGACCAACCCCAGTCCCCAATTGAGTCGGATAATCGAGGCTCTACTGTATTAATGTAAAAATAATTTTTATTCCGTGTTATATTCTTTCATACAATTGTCATGTATTCTCGGATCTATGAAGTAATTTAGATAGAACGTAATTATAATGGAAAGAAAAATTTGTTCATAAAGTGAATTAGAAAAAAAATCTGGCACCTTCTCGATTAGAAAAAATAATTAATTGTTATAAAAACATTTGATAATTAATTTCATTAACATTTGTGATTACTATGGCTTAAGAAATTTCGTTTGAATGTTTTATTATTTCCAATTGTCACGCCTTAATTTACTGGACGACGTTTTATTTTAAAAAATCATTAGAAATTACTACAACTTAATTTTATAATAAATTTAATAATTAAACGGAATATGTTAAACTTATTGCCTGAATAGAATTAATTTAATTAGAATTTGTGATCCACGTGGCCCAAACCACTACTACTGTTAATAACATTTTCCATAATTTGGCTTGTAAAGCAGCCATTTTTGTTGTATTCCGAAAGCCATGCAAGAACGCAATTATTTAGATTAGGGAATCACAGTCTGTGAAAGTACTTTTTGAGTTTGTTGCCGGAATTCAAAGTTTAACCAGTCATTTCGTGGTAATTTGTAGACAAATATTTTATTTTCAAATAACACAGGAAAGATTAAGAAATTTATCAAGTTATAAATAATCTTCATAAATCTCTTTCCATAGTGAAATATAGATTATTTATGAAACCTGTTACTTAAATTAAAAAAAGTAATGTTGTATGCATAAAAATGCAATAATATAAACTGGATATAAATTTCAATTTCGAAACGAACATTTTATACTTAGAATTACCCTTAACTTTTCTCGGGAATAATTTCCACGTGCAGAAAATGATACACAACATTTCAAAATTCGAATTATTTTTTAAAGGTTTAGAATCTGGTTCTAGAATAGTTGCTTTGTGTGCTTCGTTCACGTGATTCGTTAAAATGCTTTTTACAGAAGCAAAATGATAATTAAACATTATTTGAAATGAGTTTATTTTTTGTTAAATAAAATAAAACAGACAGTATATTATGTAGAAATTGTTTTTCCAGGTAAACTTATTTCCTTACACCAAATGGCGTCGTACTTAAAACTTTATACCGCCATCTTGCCTGTACTGTAGTATTTTCTGAAAATTAAGCTACTTTAATCGATAATGAATACGTAATTTAATTTTATATTTCAATGTTAGAAATTTAATTAAAGTTAAATAAAGAAACGGCTGCTTATTTAACCCAATGATTTGTTGTTTAAACAATTAATACAATAGCCTTTTCAATTTTCATAAAAATTTTGAAATATAAATTTAATTAAAATTTTACTATACATTTTGAATATTTTTCGGTTAATTAAAAGTAAACATTAAAGTTCTCTCTGTAACAACAAGTACGTGTGTTGTTATGGAGAAAATCAATTTGTAATAATGTTGATTAAATCACACTACATTGAAATACACTTCACTTATTCGATGTTTCTTATGCTGCACGTAAGTATTTTTAAAGTATTATACTTAAAATTTAAAATAATAACTTATAATAGTTATACGTTTATATATATGTACAGTAGATCCCCCTATAAGACGGTAGATACGTTCCGTTCTTTATGAATCAATTTTGTAAAAATCATAGTTTACGGACTACGGCTGTTTGAAAGGTTTTCTTTCATAAAATTAATCGATTCTAGACTAATTCGACTCAACATTTCCAAAATACGTATATTTTTTTGAAAATAATCCGTATAAACTACGTTATAAACAAAAAATTGTAGGATTGCTTACCGAGTGTGTACCGTTCGACTACGCCCGTTGCTAAAGCTTGGTTTCGTCGCGGAACAGCGCATCAAACCGCGGCCGCGATTTCTGATATTATTTTTCTGCGAAAACTTCGTTGACCTTTGGAGACATCCTTAATATAAATAATTTTTATGGCCGTTAAATAAGAAATGTTTCTTTCACAAGAAATGTATAAAATTACAGTACTGGACAGACGATAGGTCGCCTAACTCGCCGTAGCGTGACGCTAGACGGCGAAAAATATATATTTAATTATAATAAAGTTACAATAAATTAAGTTAATATATAATTATATATACAGTACCTAATTTATATATAATTAATATATAATTATATGTACAGTACCTAATTTATATATAATTATATGAACAGACGATACTAAACTCAATTTATCCGCCTAAACGTCCGTAGCGTGGCGCTACGGACGGCGGGAAAGTAGTTCGGCTGCCCGATGACGTTTTACGTATTATAGGAGTTATTTTTACCGTTGTTTACGGATACTGCCACAATTTTTATAGGAATCATAACTATAGGAAACGGGGGATCTACTGTATACAGAAACATAACTACAGTAGACCCCCCTGTATAACACTAGATAATTCCGTGTTATATGAATTCCATGTTGTACGAGTCACATAGATTTTACAAATACGTGTGCCGGGCTGTGAACGGCTCACGTATTCCTAAAATCTAAGTGACTTGTACAACATGGAATTCATATAACACGGAATTATAAACAATGTTATAGGGGTCTACTGTATTATACAAGGCATACTGCGGAAACTATCGAACCAGTTAGAAAAAAGATCGTGTTAAAAATCTCGAGTTATGGAGTTCTTTCTAAAAATAAAAGTTTTGTTCACTTGTTTATGAGTGCACCCATAATAAACTACCTATAAGATATCTCCGTGGGTCTTATTACACATAAACGTAGTGTCAATGTAAACTTGGTGTTGTGCAGAAACTAAAAAATGCTTAAACGAATAGTTAAAAAAGGTACTGAGAAATTTCACAGCAAAGGCTAAATTTCTTTTTCGTACAATAGGACTAAACTCTTTTATTCAATAAATTTATCAAAAGTCCACTTACAGTAGAGCCTCGATTATCCGACCAAATTGGTGACTGGGGTTGGTCGGATAATTGAAAAGTCGGATAACCCGAAAAATATGAAAAAATCCATTATAAGTGTAGTATATTATTATATCCCATGTAATTTGTATATTAGTATATCGCTATTAACCTACTTCGCGTTGAATTTTTATCGATATTAAGGCTAACAAAAATTTTTTAAAGTAATAATCGTTGCTATTGTATCGTTAAAAATTAGAAAATTAAGCCTCGTTTAAATACTGGCTCCCTTTCATGGATGGTCGAATGAGTGTTGCCAGCTAAAACACGTAAAAATAATATTAAAGTAGCCAAGACATAGCCAAATATTGTAGCGCCACATCACTAGCGGACATTTGAAATTTGCCGAGAAGGACGGTCGGTTAACCGAGGTGTCGGTTAATCGGAAGTCGGATAATCGAGGCTTTACTGTATTTGTTACCTCAGTTAGTTTAAGAAATTCACAACCCAATCAAATAAAGCTGAAAGAATGTTCGAAACTAACCAAGTTCGAGTGCAAGTTATAATATCTGGGTGACACATGGTATGTTGGAAGCCATCACTCCTCTTTACCGTAGTGACATGATGTTTATATTTTGTCAAACGTGGTTTCCACACTAAGTTCTTGATTTGTTTATTCGATAAATATTTTATTCTATGTATTTTGTATAAAATATATTAATTATTTTAATTATTAGAGGAGAAGGTGGTATTATGGAACCCCATTTTCATTATAGTGAATTGTAAACAAGGTATCATAACTACACCCACATTTTTGTGCGAAAAGTACTAGTAACTATTAATTAAAGTAGATTTTCCTAATTGGATTGTTCGCTAGTGTAACTATAATTATGGTTTTTGAAGGGTTCTGTACGAAAAGTCAGAAAGTAGACTTACAGAAAATCGGGTGGTAATACGGAACCTTACTGTATATTTTCAAAACAATGCTTTAATGTAGCCAAAAACAAATAGGAAAGTACAAAGAATGTTAAATACAGTAATTACAAAATTATTTACTCCAATGTATTTTATCGCAAAAATGATTTAATAATCAATTCAATATATATTATAAAGGTAAGTGTACAATGTGCGTGCCGCTAAAACTCAAAAACGAGTCCCGGTACGATCAAGGGAGTTATATGATGTGGTAGCCCTCTATCCCTCATCCATGAAGAAGGTTCATGTTTTTACCCGAAGGGCATGCTGTTGAAGATATAAGGGCTGGAAGTTCCGCCTTCTAGAAATTTCTAGAACAGTTCAGAACATTCGAGAGTATTCCAGAGCATTTTACAACATTCCAGAATGTTCCGGGATGTTCTGGAACGTTAGGGAACATTCCGGAACATCCCAGATCACTGTGAAGCATTCTAGAACACTCTCGAATGTTGTGGAATGTTCTGGAACATTGTGGACTTTTCGAAGCCTTTTTTGTATGGGTGAGACTACGCATTGATGGGGGTATATAAAGCAAGATCCGTCGTGCGTTCGAACGTCAGTTTCAACTAATATATATATATATAATCGAGACGGGTTGATGATAATAATAATAAGCGCAGAGCCAAAACGGTTAGGAATTCAAAGTGGGATTTTGGTACACAGTTAGTTAATGTCACGAGAACGTACACTAAGAAGGGATTTTTTGAAATTCCTCCCGGGGGGGAGAGATAGGATTAACGCTTCAACAATGGAAGTGATAAGAGAAAGCAACGTGCAAGATTTACAGGCGCAGATGCGGTTTTTTTGCGTTACAGTCGCCTATTTTAAGTTTGAAATGGAGGGGTTTCATAATACCACCTTCTCTTCTATTATCAAAATTAAAGATATTTATATATTTAATAATTTATTTTATATAAATTAATATTCTGTAAGTCTCTGATAATACTGTACCAAATCCCGTTCGTGCTAAACCATTTCAGAAATTCAAATTGGCTTGTTTGATCTTCCGTATTAATGCCCATGATTGATGATCAGAAATAAAATATTTTATATACATGTTCGTTACATAAGCACCTAGAGAAGGAGGACGAAAGTCACGTTATTTCATTAATTAATATTCCTATAAATGGTGTTAGATCAGTGTTTCCCAAAACTGTTCCTTCAGACCCTTGAAAGTTCTCGGAACTGTTGATAGGGACAATAGGAAATCGAAATTAATTTGGGGTCCATATTCAACGTTAGGATGTCCGCGAAAAGTTAGTAGGCCTAACATATAAATACATAAAATACAAGAAAGACAAGCATTGTGGTTATATTTTTTCTATGACAAGAGGGCCGTGGGCATAACAAGTTTGGAAACATTTGTGTTAGATCGGTGGCTGGCACGACTTTATTTTTAAAGAAAAAGTATAATGTGCAGTGGCAAGTTACTACTAATTTAAGGTGAAAAGCATATACTTTAAATGAAATTTAATTAAAAATTTCAGCCGGACATTCTGATGATGTCAGAATAAATAATTGCTGTTTTATATGTAGGGGAGACCGGGGAAACTTAGGCATGCGGGGCAAGTTTGTCAAGCGCTTTTTTTTAAAAAACAAATTAAAAGGAGACTTTGGTTATAGGTTAGGCAGTTGAGTTTATTGGTGGCTTGTTGAGTGTAGTGTTTGTATTGTTCTCCAACAACCGTAGTTGAATTATCAAGCAAATTTTTATTTTCGTTCAATTCCATATAATATTTTGCTTCCATTTATAATGAATTGGTAGCTTTTGTTATAATTCCATGATAACGAAAGTTGCTTTTCCTGTTAGAAGGATGTAACTTCAACTTATTCACGTGGCCAGATCATGGCTTGACATTCTGTTCTCAGAGTTGTACTTAATGTTTCGAAATCATGACTAGCGGGGCAAGATCGGCAACATAAAGCCACATTAGAAGCAAAGGATAAAAATCAAACAGATGATAAATGAAAACATGTTTGCATTTGTTATTCATGTATATATGTCTTTGAACTTGCATTTCGTTGTAATAATATTAAATGGGTGTTGGATTTGTATTTCTTTGTTTTAATAGTGAATTCCAACTTATACATTGTTAATAACATAATTTTATATACGTGCCTATCTTGCCCCATTACTGTTGCCCCTATACCAGGGGCAACTTTAATAAAAATAATTAAAATAATTACAACTTTACTGCCTATCTTGCCCCATTACTGTTGCCCCTATACCCTGGGCAACTTCGGCAATTTCTCTCTTCTTGTAAAGTTGTAATTATTTTAATTATTTTTATTTCCAAACTGATTTTAACCACTTCTATAGTAAGGTAACATTCTAATAGACAACATGCTAAGCTTTTTTTTTTTTTCAGTTTACAGCAGTATTTATTACACAAAATTTAAGTAAAGCTTAACATGCCGGTCTTGTCCCGGTCTCCCCTAATTAAAAATTACAAGTAGATCACAGCACGAATGATTCATTCCACTGTTATGTATCTGTTAATGTGAAAGACCGAAATNCTTGTAAAGTTGTAATTATTTTAATTATTTTTATTTCCAAACTGATTTTAACCACTTCTATAGTAAGGTAACATTCTAATAGACAACATGCTAAGCTTTTTTTTTCAGTTTACAGCAGTATTTATTACACAAAATTTAAGTAAAGCTTAACATGCCGGTCTTGTCCCGGTCTCCCCTATTTATTTCTCTCTGAACGTTTTTTTTTATGAATTATTTTTCGTTTAACTTATAGAATAACATAATGAAAACAGTGTAATGCATTATTATTTATTTGATATCTGAGAAAAATGATTTGATTGTTTATAATTTTGATTTATTTTGATACAGACGAATATTCGACATGATTCTTCAATTGGAACTCAGTTTTGTACTGATTACCTTTACTGATTTTCCTCACTTACAACGTTAATGTTGATAGTAAGTATTTTTCTAATTCCAATTCTTTTTCGTTTATGACTAGCTTAGGTACACAGCATTACCCGGGTTTATAAAATATAAATTTAGAACACATCGAGTACTTAGATGTAACAATTTAAATTTAATTGAGAGGTTGCAGCCGACGTTTTCAACGTGAAAACGTGTACGTCAGACGTTCAGCGCCGCCTTCCTGTTGGCCTAGAAGTTTGACAATGGCGTCTGGAACGTTGAGCATCATTCTACTGACGTTCCAAACGCCATTGGTAAACTTCTAGGCCCACAGGAAAGCGGCGCTGAACGTCCGACGTACACGTTTTGACGTTGAAAACTTCGGCAGCAACCTCTCTAATAGCAAAAACAGATATTAATTTATATGAAGAAATAAAATTAATGTTACAGGGCAGTGTATAGCTTAGTGTCGATCAGTTTATAAATAATAGATTTGTGTAAAAACATATAGGGGAGATCGGGGCAACTTCGGCATGCGGGGCAAGTTTGTCAAGCGCTTTTTTTAAAAAACAAATTAAAAGGAGACTTTGGTTATAGGTTAGGCAGTTGAGTTTTATTGGTGGCTTGTTGAGTGTAGTGTTTTTATTGTTCTCCAACAAGCGTAGTTGAATTATCAAGCAAATTTTCATTTTCGTT